TATATATATAGTATATATATATATATATACCTATATATAATATATATATTAATATATATATATGTATATATATATATATATATATATAATATATATATATATATATATAATATATATCATATATAATATATATAATATATATATATTTACTATTTTAGAAGAATAAATGCAGATAACACCCCTCTTCCTCGCGGGGAACGGCAAGGCGCTAACGTGCCTAATAAATTAGTTAGTCGCATCGGGCGCTAGCTAACTGTTTCCCGGTGAACTTACCGCTCTCCCGCCGTCAATTGAGGAAGTAGAATCACAGAGGCGACAGAAGCTTAGAGTCTTCTTCGACGAGAACCTCACGGCGGTCCGGCTCTCGAGAGGGAACCGTCACGGTCGTGATCCGACGGCGGAGCCGATCCACCACGCCACGTCGCGACTCGCGCAGCGGTAGTAGCCCACGCTGGCAGACACCGCCGACGGCCCCTGCACGCAGTCACGCGTGCCGACGTGAAGGACAGGACGTGAGCTACGCAGCTCTCCGGCAGCCTGTTCATCGTTTTACCGTCGCTCGAGCCTTCTGAGCAACGGCTACAGTCTTTGCTTATATATACAAGCGAAGGTCGATAGAAAACTTAATTAATTAATTAATTAATTGTTTCTTTTAGGAAATAATTAATTTAATTTAATGTTTGTGGTCTGCGTCACATTTTTAGATAATTAGTATATATTTCTTACCGGTTCCACTTCTAACTTGGAAAGATATCTAAAGTTCCCAACAAGAAAGTGATGTGATTGGTAGCCTCTCCCTCTAGAAGTGGGGGTAAATATAGTAATATCGCAAATTTAGGAAAAAGTGAGCGTCAAAGTTAATTATTAGTAAAAGCGAAGGATTTAGTCATTTATTACGACTATAAAACATCCTATATACTCAATAATTATTAAGAAAAATAAATGTTTGATATTTTATTATAATAATATAAAAATTCAATAAAGTATTAGATATTTTTTTTCCCTTCTTTAGAGAATGTGAGATATTTATGATAATAATAATTTTAAGAATTTGAAGAAGGAAGATTTTTTGCAGAATGCTGCAGATTTAGGGAAAGTCTCTCTTTTTTTTCTTCTCCATCCCCATTTTAGGGAATGAGACGGAGAAACTGTTAGACCTAAAAATAGCTCTATATTCCCCAAAATTGAATATATTGTTTCACCCGAAATGGAACTTGTGCGTAGAGTTCGATTTTGACAGACAGGCCTTCTCAGTGAATTTTCTTTTGAACTATTTTAATCGGTAAAAAGGAAGATTGTTGTTGTTGGGAAAATAGACCTCCTGAGCATAAATAGGTAAAAAAAAAAATAGATCAACTCAGAAATCAGTGTCAAATATAAACGCAAGGAGTAATAAGTTCCAAAATCCTATAAGGTAAACTTTATTCTTGAGCAACTAATCCCAAAATCTATCATAAAGCATTCACATTAAAGTAATCTCTACTTATGAGATTCCAAAAATTTTAATCGAAGCCGGCCGGCCACACATTTT